AAATTCATATTGGTTTCCTTGAGTGAAAACTTGACATGATATTTGGCCTTGTTTGGTTGGGTGTAAAATGTTTTCAATGGAAAATGATTTTCTATGAAAAACCTTTTCCATTAGAAAATGTAATTTCCTACACTTTTCCCTTGTTTGGTTACATGTAAACTGATTTTCCTTTTTAAGTATTTTCCGTCGTTTGGTTCAATAGAAAATCAGCATTTTTTATTTTTTATTTTAGTCTTTGTCTTTTCTATATTCTTAAGGAAGGTCTTATCAGTTCTTTCTCATGCCGTACTACTACTAATAATAATAAACCTTAAACTTTTTCTAAGCTATCTGTGAATTTGTTTTTGTAAATATTAAATGCAATTTAGAAATAAAAGGGTAAAAACTAGCATAATTAAATCATACAAGTAAGATAAAATGTTGTAGATAAGTAGTACAGAGTAGCAGCAACAACTCAAATATCAAGACATTATATAATTCTTTACCTCCTACGTACTCATAGTAATAGACGTTTGTAGTAAGTAGTTGTAGACAAATAATAAAAACATACTCATTCTAATTTTAACGATTAAGGAAATTTATATAGTTTTTGGTCCAAACTCTTCGGAGAGGTTTGCTCTTTGTCAAAAAAAGCTTTGACAAGCATCTCCCGCTCAACCAAGTGGTCAAATGCGGCATCACGAACTGCTTCTTCAAAATCATCCATCTTAATCATCTCTTCATACAGTTTCTCCACATCAAGTTAATGTTGGTTGTTTGAGAATTTCTTCAGAGCACTAACCACTTCTCCTAGTTGATTAGATATTTGTTGCAAGTCACAAGCGTCATCTTCACCTCGAGTCCAATTAAGAGTATAAAGGTATCCTATTTCAACTAGCAACAGGTTATTGTCCACAGATGCAACAATTTGGCCTCGAACGAACAGTAACAATTGGTTTATCTATTTCCAACATATTGTTAATTAGTGTTGAATGATACCATAATTACAAAAAATAAGTCTAAATTTTCATTATAAGATATCATATCGGGTACCCGATAACAGATCCATAAATTTGGACATCAGTTATTCGGTTCATATATATCATTTTTTGTGTTATTTGTTATCGGTTACTCGAATTGATAGTGATGACGATACGGGTACCCGATCCATGCTCACCCCACCTAAATTTGGAGAGAAAAAAAAAAGTTATATTTGAGTATTGTTCTTGTTTTTGGCCCAAGTAAGGTTAGGGTTTTGACCTCAACTTCGATATAAAAGAGTAACGGGGATATGGAAAAGTGGAGAAAAAGAAGGGGCCGGCGATGGAAGGAAAAGAAAAGAGCGGAAAAGTAATTAGTGTTGTTACTCCAGAGAAAGAGAAGATATTAGCCTTATAATTTATTAGCAGATGCAGGGTTGAATTCCGTGGTGTCTGTTGGGTTGGTGATCTACATCGTAGGCGGTAGAAGATATAATCGTATGAAAAAAAAAACGGCACCGCCCAATTTAAGGTGTTGTAACGATAACAAAAAGGGCCTGTATGACAAGGGCGTGTCCTATCTAGATCTCGCTGAATGTGAAGTTGGTTGGCAGGAATCCCCTTTTGCGAGTAAAGGTCTTAGCCCTAGCCCTGCCGTGGTTGCGTTTGGAGGTAAGATATATCTTTTCCACCGCGGTGGGCAGTCAGTCAGCGCGGATGTTTTTGATACAATTTCAAGGGAATGGTCGACCTTGCTTCCGCTACCTCAAGTCGGGTATTTCGACACCCTATATGATACTTCTGCGGTTGCCGACCCTGACAATAACAGGATCCTCGTCCACTTCTCTACCATTAGTTATGTCTTCGCTTTCTACCCTGAAAGTTGTGAATGGGATTTGTTTCTTGAATCTTTCGGTTGGTCTTCGTCGCTAGTTTTAGTCAATGGTGTTATCTACCCCGAGACCCCTGAATTGGTGGGCGCATACGATATTGCCACCAAACAGTGGCTTAATACTGTATTTACCTCTCAGCTCTCTGACCGTGTTTGGAGATACGAGTTTGATGCTATGATTTACTTAGGGAATGATCTTATGTGCTTGGCTGCCTACTCCTCTCTTGCTGATAGTCCACCCCGCACCAAGGTTTATATTGCCAAGTTCAGATTCCACCGTCCTGCCGACCTCCATGTTACCCCTCTTCCTCCTGTCCAAACCTATACCCTTTGACACCATTTGCTCCGGAGGGAGCCCCAGTTTCTTATAGTGAGAAACAAAATTTTTTACCCACGTAACATTATTGTAAATAAACCAAAAACTTTATTCAATTGTGGAGCCCAAAATAATGAAAAAATTGTTGATTTATTCACGAAAATGCCCCATGAGAAACAAATTTTGTTTCCCAATATGAGAAATATGGAATTTCCCTTTGCTCCGTCCATAACTACTTGCCTATCTAATCTAGGTATGAATATCTTCATTTATTTCAGTATTATGTTGATACATACATAGATTTAACCCATTACTTGCCTATCACTATTCATTCTTATCATTTAGGTTGATACATAGATTAAACCCAGGTATCAATATTCATTATTATCATAATTTATTTTTTGTATTAGGTTCATCGTAGATTAATTACTATCCTACTGCATCACTCATCTCTCCTAACTTTTGTGGTATTTATTAGTTAGAATTGCATCATTTTACCTGTACTCTTCAAGAAGAGCAAGAACGGAAGCAATTATGGCTGCCACAGTTGCAAGAATCATGCCTTTCATTTCATGGGTCATCTAAAATAACATATACAACAAATTATATAATCAGCCATAACATATACAACAAAATTATATAGCATTTGCATACAACTTTTACAAGTCATTCACATATGGAAATCAATTACCAAAGGGTCCAACTAGAAACAGCTTGTACAGACAAATAGTGACACACAAATTTGGAATACCAAAATGCAAGTAATCCACTCTGTTATAAGATGTTATATTTTTCAACTTTATTTAACAAACTATGATCAGAAAATTTAATAATTTCCCTAAACACCCGGAATAACAAATCTATAAAATTTTGCTACATTACCATTTTCCCATTGTACAATAGATCTATCACCAATTAAATAGGTTCATCAAGGAGTTCAGCATATCTTAAATATTTCAAAATGGATATATTAGACCACTAGTATACAAACTTCTACATTCATTCATGAAAATGATACTCAAACATCACTAAAAAGCTCAACAATCATCACCCATTATACTTGAACAAATATACTATAGAACATAGCAAATCAGATTAAGCTAAATCAATTAAATCACAACAAAACTTCCAAGACCAGAAAATTATCAGTATAATGAAGCAAGTAAAATTAGACCATAAGAGATGTACTATACTTGAAGTGATTTTTAAGATGATACTCCTTGATCCGACATCATACTAGCTTACAATCTTCAAAAAAAATTCAACAAAATAAAGACAATTTTAGGTGAGGCAATTTATCAAACACTTTGTGGGCATGATAAAAACATGTAAAATATATGAAAGAAAATAAAATTTGCAGCAAGTAGAATGCATCTAATAACAGATTCCCAAATTATAATCATCTTTAGAAAATTTAATCACATCAGAAAAGTAATTTCGAATTGAATTAACAATTTCTATGCAAAAATACCCTAAATATCAAAATATGTACAAAAAATACCTTAAAATAATCGAATTTTAAACCAAGAGATTAATAATCCAGTCAAGAAGAGAGAGAATATTACCAATTTGCCGCAAGAGATTGAGTGAGGAAGATACCTGGGTTTGCAGTGTAGGAGGAGAAGGGGAAAGATGAAATGGAGTGGAAAACACGACTTCCTTCTAATTTGGGGAAAAACGTTTTCTTGCATAAAGAAAAATAGCTTTTCAGCCCAAATTTTACTTTTCATATCCGGCCCAAACCAAACAATGTAAAATAAGGAAAATAGTATTCCTGGAAAAGGTTTTCAGCCCAACCAAACAGGGCCTTAGAGCAGACGATCCAAACCCACTATTAACACCTAAGAAGGGAAGGCTCATTAGCAATCGATCGATGTGTGTGTGGTTAATGTGTGAAAGATTATAAATATTCATGTGATTTTGACCTGACTTTAGAAATTTAAGCATCTATTAATTGTGAAAAAAATCTATTCAGGTCGGTTTTCAGTTTTTAAAAAGCAGGTTCTTAACGGTTCAGTGCCTTTCAGGATCATTTTTGGAACGGACAGGTTCATTGGTTGGGTTACAAATTGACAACTCTAGTTGATCACAAAGTTGTCACTTAGAAATGAGTGTTATACAACATCATATAACACATGTAACATTAAATAATCAAGATTAATAATTCGATTTATTTTATTTCATTAGTTTTAGTAAGTGCAACTGTGCAAGGACCAAAGCTAAATATATAAATAAAAAAACACAGTAACATTGCCCTTCAAGTCTTCAATAGCGCGGTGAATTAACAATGTTCTAAATAAACATTGTGGTTGGATAGAGGAATGGGAATGAAAGAAAAGAAGGTGAGGTAGGGAGGGGAAGAGGAGGGAATTAATGATGAATTTCCTTCAAAATATGATCTCTTCATTATTGGAGAGATTAATTTCTTATTATAGTTTAATCCTTCTATTTTTCTTTCCTCCAATTCTCTTCCCTCCTCATTTGTTTTGCAAATAAAAGATAAATTCATCTCTCTATTTTTCTTTCCTTCCTTTCCCTCCATTTCATTCAATCCAAACGAAGTAGTGTAAGTTATTTTTTCACATTGGTAAATAACTACATATATTGCTTAAATTATTATTCAAACTTAACTGATACTCTTGTTTTCATGAATTTTACAAAACAACACTACCATCAAGCCATCAAATAAGCTCTTCTTGTTAAATTTTACACATGAATATATTTAATTATATCAATAATTTACGCACGGTTAATTAGCAAATACATTATCACAAAATTAAATACTAGCATTTTTCAAAATAGTACTCGTATATAATAATTAGAAGCACACATATATTACTTAAAACACTGAAGTTACATCATTATCTTCATGTTTACATTATTTTTTTCGTGTGTAAATCACTTATTTCTCAAGTTCCACACGTAATTGTTTACAACACCTTAATACAGAAACAATGCATACTACTACTAAGCATTGAGAGTGCTACGTATATGGCAGTTCTCTCACTATCATAGGATAGAAACCATGCATACAATTAGGATTTCATTTATAAAATAATTAGCAAGAAACGTTAGGACCAGGAGTAATTTTGAACTTCTTGCAATAATTCTTGTAGTACTTAACACGATTTTTTACCGCGGCAGGGCTTCCACCATCACATTCGCCTCCATTTATAGCGCGGATAGTAGCTCCAAATCCTTTGCTCACTTTAGAATGAACCCTAGTGTTCCAGTACCAAAGTGCTGTCTTGAAGGACACACTAGGGTTTGTCGATGCGAGTTCCGGATGCTTCAACAAGTCAAGGCCAAGGTATTTCCCAGCAGCTCCATAGTTGCAATTCCATGTAAGTTGAATTGGTCCTCTGCCATGGTAGCTTTTTGCTTTGCAACGATACTTTGATCATTATTTGCTTGTATGAATTTGTACACTAATTAAACATTACTATATATGAGCTTAGTTTGAAATACGTATATATAGTAGAATTTAATACTTCGTGTTTGGCAAAGTATGTACTCCCTTTTACAAATAATAGTCCCATCTCAATCGGACAATTGAACACGTTTAACTTTGTAAAATATATATGAGCATTTAACAAACAATAATTGACTTATTATACAACACCGTATAATAATAAATATTTTGGATTTATATTCTCATAATTTTTTATCATGTATATTGCATGAAATATAAGATTGAGCTAACTAGCTAATAATACTAATACTATGGAGTACTAATTAGGTTTCAAAAAAAAAAAAAAAAAAAAAAAACATGGAGTACAAATTAATTAATAAGTCTAGATATGTAAAACTTGATGTAGATATAGACGGAGAAGGTCAGGTGACTTACGACCAGTCTCGTGGGTGGCATGAGCAAAGAAGGCAGCGATCTCCCTCTTGGCAGCAAGAGTGGAACCACTTCCAAACTTAGGAAAGGCTTTAGCAGCATTAAGAAATCCTGCACGAGTGTAGAAGTGTTTACCCTTACACGACGACGAAGCTTGGTTGATGATGCTATTGAAGAATGATGGTGTTACTACACTTGATACTTTTATAGCATCTACCACAATAAGGTTATTATTGAGGTGAGTAAAAAGTATTCCCACCATCATCACTAACCCTAATTGTATTTTCATCTTTCCCTCTAATCTTATTTTCCCACTTAAGCTCGCTGTATTTTACCTCGTACTAGTTTGAGATTTGTGTTGGAAAATGATGGATTAATTTAGCATTAATATTGGCTATTTATAAGCTAAAGTTTAGTTTAGTATGGAGCATATTACAAAGATCAATTAATAAAATGTATTAAACTATAAGATATTGTAAGACTTTTAAGACTTTATTTATTCCATAATATAAGGTCAATAATATGAATTTTAGTGCATTGGCCAATAAGATCTTGCCAAAGATGATTTCATTGTCTTATTATCATTCAGTCGTTGACCGTTGACATTTTCCATGTTTTTATCGGCAACATATGTGCAACATTATACGCTAATACGCTATGTATATGTGATTTAATAATTGGCCAAGGTTATTCATATCATGATAATCATATTTTTTCAAAATAAGTTTTTGTTCTAAGTCAAAGTTTCATGATTGTATCATCATTTTAATAGATTAAAAAACTGTGTAATTAAGCTTATATTCTGCAGATATTCTTGTTTGATTAGTCCTTAACCTTGTGTACCCATACTCCCTATATATCTAAAATTAAATAAGACACATACAACATCTCTTTCATATTACTACCTCCATTTTATGTTGTTCTTATTAACATGTACAGTTTGCACAAAAATTGCAAAAAAAGAAAAGAGAGTGTATTGTGTAATCAAAAAGCTAGGCGGTGTAAGAAAAAATGTACTACATAAAGTTAAAGAAAGTGAGTGAAAATGTCAATTATGTAATATTATAGGGTTAGAGGGGTAAGGTAGTAAAACAGGTTTGCAAAAAAAGGGATTAAAATAATGAATGTAGCTTTAATTTCAAATATATATGCAAAAAACTGGGCCATGTCTGTTTTTTTATTCTTATTTTTTTAATACTAAAATTAATCCATTAATTAAAAGTCATATGACATCTATCAAAGATGTATGTATGACATTTTATTAGTGGATTAATTTTACTACTCCAAAAAAAATAAATGAGACATGACCATGTATTTTTAAGGTTCGTCAGGGGTGTATTTAAAAATATCAACTTCTTGTAATTTTTACCTCGCTCCATCCCATATTGATCTCATCATGTTGGCTTTTTTGCACTATTTACATACCTCACTTTGACAATTTAGTTTGCTCAAATAATAATATGACAAAATATCTCTATTATATAAGTCAAGGGGAGGGGGAGTAAAAAGTTGGTGTCTAACTTTTAAACTACCTAAATTGTCCTTAAAAGCTAAACAAAAAAAGAAATGAAATATTGTATGATAAAAGCATCTCCAATAGTTGTAGTTAAGGACTTGTTTGCAATTTGGAAATTCCCTAACTACTACCTTGACCATTGGAGCTAAAAAATGAAATCAGCTTGGCCAAAATGAAATTAGTTTGCTTAGTCAAGCAAATAAATCAGCTTGGCCAAAATGAAATTAGCTTGCTTGGTCAAGCAAATTAGCTTGGCCAGAAAAAAAAATAATAATAATAATAAAAAAAAACAAAAAATAAAATAAAAATATTGCCAAAAAGAAGGGTTGATATATTAATAATAAAATTAAATTTAAAAAGATAATTATGAATTGAAGGCTCATTTAAATCACAAGCTATTAGAGCATCTCCAATGGTAAACTAATTGTTAAATTAGCTTGTCATACCACATATAATTTTAAGCTAATCCACTTTGTAACTATTTTGTGCCCTAATGGTTAGCTATTAGCTTGCTAATAAATAAGCTTCACTTCCTCAATTAGCTTTATTAATTAATTATTTTAGTATCATATTAATCTCCAAAAATTTAGAAACTTTTTACTCAAGCAAATTAGCTTGGCCAAGCTGATTTACTTTGCCAAGCTAATTGTATTTTTTAGCTCCAATGGTCAAGCTAAGCTAGTAGCTAGAGACTTTTGAAAATTGCAAGCAAGTCCCTAGTTACAACCATGGAAGCTGCTCTTAGCTAACTTTAAGGATAGTGGGGGACACAAACTAGCTACAAAAAAAATTAGCTTAAAATCTTATGAGGCATAAAAAGTTAATTTGCTAATAGCTTACCATTAAAGTTGTTCTAACATGAGCTTCAAAAGTTTTAAATAACTAATTCTATTTTATTTCAAAAAAAAATAACTATCTTATTAATTACAAAGAAAAAAGATCATTTAAATAGTTGTACCAAACAATCACCATTCAGCTTTTCACAATATTATATTTAATATTTTTGTCACAAATTTGGATTTTTTTTTATCATGTCCTATTATTAAATTCAACCACTAATGCCAATAATTATTCTATCATTTTCATCCATATATCCACAAAATTTTTAAAAAACAATTTAGATTATGTATCTATTAACAATTCAAATTCAATATTGAATTATTTATGACTTACTATTATAAGAAGTTTTGAAAATAACCTTTATTAACAATCTATCTAACATCTATAAAAACAAAACAGAGACTAAATTTTTTTGATTTTTCATACTTTGTATATTTTTTACTTCTTTATTTATTTTAAATCTATAATCATGATAAATTAATATCATTAAGCTTTTAAAAATTTGTTAAATCTTTTATGTGACGACAATTTTCATACTATTGAATTAATATACAGATCTTTTTAACATTTTAAAAAGTTTTTAACTAATGATTCGTGATAGAAGCTAGCCTATAAGAGGTACTTATTATTCAACTCAGGTATTCGTTCTACAATATTTAATATGAATTTCTAAATGGTGACTACATGCATTATAATATCAAGCCCACATCATTCATAAAGTATAGTATGTATGTAACACATGTGGTTGTGTTTAAATTATTGTACATTATTTAATTTTGACTCTTCGCTTTATTTACACACTTCTTTATAATATATTATTGATGGTAAAGGTTGTGCATTGACAAACATGTAGCTAAAGAAATTCAAATAATACAAGGATTAACATATAAAAAAAATATTAAATTTCAATGATAAAAATCTATTTATTACATAAAAGCAAAATTAAAAAGACACTTGGTAACATATTATTAAATATGTTCCCTCCAAAAATTCATTGTTATATACAAAGAGGTTTGTACCTAAATTAAAACTATTATTTTATATTTTTAATGATTCTCTGTTATATTTCTTCTTTAAAGTTGCTGATTTTTATTAAACCGAAATTATTTTTACTAAACTAAACATATTTTTACTGAATTGAAATTATTTTTGCCGAAGTGCACAGGGCCAAAGTTTGTTGTGCCTAGCAGCACAACTTTTAAACAGAGCAATGCACAACACAATTGTGGGGATGAGAGCACATTTTAACATCAATTAAAATTTAACAGTCAAATATTCCATCAAAGTAACGAAATCATCATTTTTTTGTGTATTTGTAATCCAATTTTATTTAAACCCTTAAATTTTAATTTATAGAGAGAAATTGTAAAAAATATAAGCTAAATGTTGATATAAATAATAATATATAATACTAAAATAGACACCAGGAATGACACATGTCACATCCTAGTATAATTTTTTTGCCCTCCAAAATTCCCCCCTTTCTTTTTCTAATTTTCATTCCTTTTTCTATCTAATAATGTTACCTACTATTATTAATACACAAAATATTCATTAAATCATATAAGTATGGTCATTTTAATTCACATACTTTCATTATTGGTAATAAAATATTTTCCAAATCTATCACTTTATATCTTGTAAATATTACTCCGTATGCCATATCATAGCACAATACATCATATTTAATTCTTTCTAGTTATTAATATGAATTATATATTTAAAATAATTTTGAAACAATATTTAAAAAACCGGTGAATCTATTACGGAGTCTTATATTATTGTTATTGTTATTGTTATTGTTATTGTTGTTGTTATAAAAATTATTATTATTATTATTATTATTATTATTATTATTATTATTATTATTATTGTTATTGTTATTATTATTATAATAATAATAAACACCTACAAAGTCAAACGATTTACAAGAAATTAGTGGGGAGCCGAGATACAATCTGGGCCCCCACCCCTCTAGCTATAGCGAACCCAATCCTGTTAAAGATGTGAGCAGCCGCACGAGCACCAATATCCTGAGTCCTAGCGAACGCCTGAACCCGCTTCAGCAATGCAACAACATCTTTCTCTAATTCCCCCAATGAAGAAAAGGAGAAAGGGAGAAAACCATAGCCAATAGCCCTGCAACGCGCCCCATACTTGTCTCGCTTCCGCTGAGCCGCAGCCGCCACAACACGACCAGGAACGAAGTCAGACAACCCAGATTGAGTCAATGGAGAAGACCCCGTCAAGTCAACACATACATCTAGGCCTCTATCCCAGGAGTAAAGCAACACATCTGCTGGCCGAAGAGCCCCGTCGTTCCCTCCAGTCAACCCAACGTTGACCTCCTTCCTTGCAGAAATCCCAGAGCGGAAACAAATATCAACAAGGGTATCACGAACAACGTTGTGCCGATGTTTAATACCCACCATCCCAACACAAGACACTGCATGATCCCCATAAATATCCCCAGCAAAAACCCTTGAGCAAGCAGAACAACAACATTATTGTTATTGTTATTATTATTATTATTATTATTGTTATTAACAAAAACTTACAAAGTCAAACATTTTACAAGAAATTAGTGGGGAGCTGAGACACAATCTGGGCCCCCACTCCTCTAGCTATAGCGAATCCGATCCTGCTGAAGATGTGAGCAGCGGCACGAGCACCAATATCCTGAGTCCTAGCGAAAGCCTGAACCCGCTTCAACAACACAACAGCATCCTTCTCTAATTCCCCTAATGAAGAAAAGGAGAAAGGAAGAAAACCATAGCCAATAGCCCTGCAATGCGCCCCATACTTGTCTCGCTTCCGCTGAGCCGCGACCGACACAACACGACCAGGAACGAAGTCAGATAACCCAGATTGTGTCAAAGGAGAAAACCCCGTCAAGTCAACGCATACATCAAGGCCTCTATCCCAAGAATAAAGCAACACATCTGTTGGTAGAAGAGCCCCGTCGTTCCCTCTAGTCAACCCAACATTAACCTCCT